AGCCCTCACTTCCCTGGAACTTGCTCTGTAGACCAGGCTGGTCTCGAACTCACCGAGATCCACCTGCCTCTGCCTCCCACGTGCTGGGATTACAGGTGTGTGCCACCACCACCCGACTTGATTTTGGATTTTTAAGGAGCGGTTTATTTTACTCAATACAGGTTTGGGGCACTGTATATTTATCCCCATGTGTGGCATCTTTTGGACAGCTGCTGGCTTTGTTCTTTCATTGCAAGTCTTGGCTGGCAGTTATTTGTGTATATTGAAAGTGTCATTTTATGCTAATTATAACATGACATTTTGGTGATTCATTTTCCGATTTCTGTGATCATTGGCTTTCATGTGTAGTTTCGATATAGACTTTGGAATCCTATTGTCTATTTAGTGATGCAGGCCTATGACCACACTGTGAAAATGCAGACAGTCTGATTCTGCTCCTTCCACTCCCCTTTCTGTAATTAATTGCATCATCTGATAAATAATCCCAGTACAATGTGAAATGACAGTGTAAATAATCAGTGTTTTTGTCTCAACTTTTGCTTTAGTAAGAATCAAGAATAAATTTAATGTTTTTTTTTAATGTAAAAAAAGTTCTGGCTTTAAGAATCAGGTGTGCCCGGTGGCACAGGCCTTTAATCTCAGCACTCAGAATACAGAGGCAGGTGGATCTCTGAATTCAAGGCCAGCCTGGTCTACAAGAACTACTTTCAGGATAGGCTCCAAAACTACAGAAAAAAATCCTTTTTTGAAAAACTACTTAAAAAAAAGCAAAAGAAAAAAATAAGAATCAGGTTTGTATGTGTGTCTAAATATGCATTTGAGAGGTATCGTTAAGAAAAAATCTTTTAACTACTATTTTTCAGGGTATCTACTTCCATCATCTGCTGCATTCATCTAGACATGTGTCCACACTTCTGACTATATTTTGTCTCTATTCTCTACCATCCTTGTCAGTCTCTATCTATATCTAATTATCATCTAGGGCTCCATCTCACTTGTTTGTCCTGAATCAGGCAAGAAACTGAAGCCCTTTCATTCTGCAGTGTCTCTCTGGCGCCCTCTACTGACAAAGTCCAGCATCGTGCCCAATGTGGAAGCCGAAACAAGAAGATCCAGACTTAGATTTATAGAGCAATGATGGTGGAAGAGCTGACGAAATTAATTGATAACTTGCTTGTCAAGCTGTGTTACTATTACTTCTGTTATAATAATTCATAGTTTAAAGATATCTTTGAAATATTTTCCGTCTTTGCCCACATATTACTGTTCTGATGCTCTTCATTTTTCCAAGTAGGTTCAAATTCCCACCTGGAATCATCTTCTGCCTAAATAACTATTTTAAACTTGTATTTAATAAGTGTGTCATCTTTGGTCTTCTAAAATCTTTGCTGTCATTTATGCTTTTATTTTGATTTTGTGTGTATGGATGTTTTGCCTGCATGTCTGTATGCCATGTGTGTGCAGTGCCCACAGAGTTCAAAAGAGGGCGCTTTATCCCCCTGGAACTGGAGTTAACGGTTGAGAGCCCAGATGATGGTGTGGGGAGTCGAACCTGGGTCCTCTGGAAAGCAACCAGTGCTCTTTACCTCCGAGTCACCTCTTCACCCATTTGTTTTCATATTTGAAGGGTACTTTTCTTCCTGAAAAATGTTATCACTTCCCTCCTTCACTTCCGGAACTTTAAATACATCTTTAGATTATAGTTATAATGAATTCTGATTTTTAACTTTCTATTTATAAACATTCTTGAACTTACCAAACTTTGCAAAAAACCATAATGCATTTATACCATCTTTAAACTACGTACATAAACACCATATACTGATCAAACCCAGAAAACTTATAGGGATACTATATTGTGTTTATTATATCAATTATTCAAATCTTTTCAACTGCCCCACGTTTTCTGGTTTAGAGTCCACTCCCAGAGCTCCCAGTGCATGTGGTTTTCATGTCGCTTGGTTGTTCTCCCACCCAGGCAATACAGGCTTGTTTCTTTTCTCTTCAGGCCTGTTGGAAGGATTATGCCTAGCTGCTTTGTGGGTTTTTCACTTTAGGCCTGTCTGTGGTCCCTTCCTGTTAACCTCAGTTTGTATGGTGTGCCTTAGGATCGCACAGAAATAGAGTGTGTTTTTTCACTTTGCATACCAACTGGTTAATATAACCTGAGGTGAAAATTCAGCTTCAGGTGAGAAATCCAGCCTCATCTTACTTTTGTCCTCTTTGTGTAGTGTGTCTTTTTGTTGGGAGGGGGGCTGATTTTAAGAGTTTTCTCTTGATACTTGGTCATGTTATTTCTTGCCTGAGGTTCTTTGTATTTCTCTTGTGGATTTGTTTGTCAAGTTTTGACAAAAGTGAAACAAAAGAAAGCAAAAGTAGAATCCAGACATTTCTCATTAGCTTTCTTATTGCTTTGACAAATGCCTGACAGAATAGCTCAAAAGAAGAAAAAGGGTTAATTTTGCTTAGAACTGAGGCATCCCCAAATCATGATCATTGAACCCACTCGTTTGGGAGCTGTAGTGATGTGAAACGCTATGGTGGTAGGAACATGAGGGGCTGCTTGCCTTATGGTGGTCAGGAAACAGAAACGGAATAAAGGAAGTGGCCAAGGCAAGATATGACACACCCCCAGTGAGTTGTGCCCACATATTTGGCTCCATAGCCTGCTTATCACCACTTCCCAATAATGCTAGGATGTTTTCCCAAGTGTTTTTCTTTTCCTACACCCACCCTCTCCTGGAGTTCAGATTTCAGGTGATAATGCCATGTGGAAGCCTGAATCACAGGGAGTTTTATTTGTATCGTATTGGTTTTATTGCATTCTGGGAAGATACATAAGAATATTGAAGCCTCAGTGGTGCAGAGGTTTGTTCAGGCTGCTGAGGGAAGCCTCAGCAGTGACAGCCATGGCCTCCCAAAATTAACCTCAGCTCCAACCACACCTGCACCTGGAGGACTGACCATCTGAGCCTTGGGTCTGTAAGCAACCATAGGAACAATTACCAAAGAGTCTGCCCTGCTTACACCTCAACAGAGCCACAGCCCCCAACTACACCACCTGTTCTGAATGGAGGAAAAGATGGGTGGACAGCAGTACACTCAGCAACATAAAAACAATCCAACATGCCAGAAATTAGTGGTTCTACATCAGAAAGACCTGAATATCCCAATGCAGATGAAAATGACCTTAAAGATAACTTTATGATGATGACTGAGGCCCTTAAAATGGAAATGAAAAATTCCCTCAAAGAAGTGGAGGAAGAGACAAGCAAAAATGGAAGAAATCATCAAATCCCATAAAGAAAACCAAAAAAAAAAAGCAACAAACAGGTGGAAAAAATGATTGGAGACTTGAAAACTGAAATAGAGGCAATAAAGAAAACACAAACCAAGGAAATCTGGAAATGGAAAATCTGAGTAAATGACCAAGAATTACAGAAGCAAGCATAAACAACACAATACAGGAGATGGAAGAGAGAATCTCAGGCATTAAAGGTACAATAAAGGAAATAGGTTCATCAATCAAAGAAAATAATAAATTCAATAAATCCTTATCACAAAAAATCCAGGGAATCTGGAACACCATGAAAAAACCAAACCTAAAAATAATAGGAATTGAAGAGGGAGAAATCCAGCTCAAATGCACAGAAAATATATTCAACAATATCATAAAAGAAAACTTTCCCAATGTAAAGAAGGTCAAGCCTATGAAAATACAAGAAACTTACAGAACACCAAATAGACTAGACTTCCCAAAAAGTCACCTTGCCACATAATAATCAAAACACTAAACATACAGAATAAATAAAACTATTAAGAGCTGCAAAGGAAAAAAAAAGCCAATTAACATATAAAGGCAGACCTATCAGAATTTCACCTGACTTCTCAGTGGAAACAATGAAAGTCAGAACGTATTGGTCAGGCATTATGAAGACACTAAGAGATCACAGATGCCAGCTCAGACTACTATATCTAGCAAAGCTTTCAATCAACATAGACAGAGAAAACAATATATTCCATGACAAATCCAGCCCTATGGAAAGTACAAGGAGGAAAACTCCAACCCAAGGAAGTTAGCTACACCTACAAAAACAAAGACAATAGATAATCCTACACCAGCAAATCCCAAAGAAGAGAAATGCACATAGAATACCACCACCAACAAAATCAAAAATAACAGGAACTAACAATCACTGATCATCAATATCCCTTAATATAAATGGATTCAATTCACCTATAAAAAAGACACAAGATAACAGATTTGGTACAAAACAGAATCCATCCTTTTGCTGCATACAAGAAACACACCTCAACTACAAATACAGACATTACCTCAGAGTAAAGGGTTGAGAAAAAATTTTCCAATCAAATGGTCTTAAGAAACAATCTTGTGTAGTTATCCTAGTATCTAACAAAATAGACTTCAAACTAAAATTAGTCAAAAGAGATGAAGAAGGTCATTTCATATGCATCACAGGGAAAATCCATCAAGATGAAGTCTCAATTATGAGCATCTATGCCCCAAATACAAGGGCACCCTCATTTGTAAAAGAAACATTACTAAAGTTTAAATCACATATCAGTGCTGTAGGATAATGCTCTTGTACCCTGTAAAGATTTCTCTCTCTTTTGGTTTAATAAAACACTGATTGGCAGTAGCCAGGTGGGAAGTATTGCTGAGGCAGCCAGACTCAGAGAATTCTGGGAAGAGGAAAGGCTCAGTCTGCAGTCACCAGGCAGATGCAGAGGAAGCAAGGTGAGAATGCCTCATTGATAGAAGATACCAAGCCATGTGGCTAGCAAAGACAAAAATTATCAGTTAATTTAAATTGCAAGAGCTAGTTAATAGTAAACCTGAGCTAATAGGTCAAACAGTTTATAATTAATATAGGCCTCTGTGTGTTTCTTTGTGACTGAATGGCTGCAGAACTGTGTAGAACTGAAACTTCCATCTACACATCAAGCCACATACACTAATAGTGGAAGACAATCAATACCCCACTTTCACCACTGGACAGAAACTTAACAGAGAAATAGAGGAACTAACAGATGTTATAACTCAATGGGCTTAACAGACATCTATAGAACATTCCACCCAAACCCCAAAGAATATACCTTCTTCTCAGTAACACATAGATCCTTTTGTAAAACTGACCACATATTTGGTAACAAAGCAAATCTTAACAGATGCAAAAAATTGAAATGACTGCACAACATACACAAACTTCTGGGACAAAATGAAAGCAGTGCTAAGTTCATAGCACTAAATACCTACATAAAGAAGCTGGAAAAATCCCATACTAGTGAATTAACAGAACACCTGAAATCTCTAGAACAAAAGAAGCAAACTTACCCAGGAGAACTAGATGACAGGAAATAATCAAATTGAGAACTGAAATCAACAAAACAGAAGCAAAGAAAATAATACAAAGAATCAATGAGACAAAGAGTTGAGAAAATTAACAAAATAGACAAACCTTTATCCAAACTAACCAAAAGGCAGAGAGAATATCCAAATTAACAAAATCAGAAATGAAAAGGGATATAAAACAACAGAATTGAAGGAAATACAAAGAATCATCAGGTCATATTTCAAAAACCTGTACTCCACAAAAAATTTAAAAGAAATAGACAATTTTCTGGATAAGTACCAAATACCCAAATTAAATCAAGACCACATAAACAAATTAAATAGACTCATAACTGCTAAGGAAATACAAACAGTCATCAAAAGTCTCACAATAAAAAAATGCCCAGGGCCAGATGGTTTTGGCACAGAATTCAACAAGGATTTCAAAGAAGAACTAATACCAATACTCCTCAAATTGTTCCACACAATAGAAACTGTAGGGACATTGCCAAACTTTTATGAGGCTACAGTTACTTTGATAACCAAACTACACAAAGACACAAATAAAAAAGCGAATTACAGACCAATCTCCCTGATGAACATTGATGCAAAAATACTCTATAAAATCTGAAACATACTCCATCGAGTAAGCTTCATTCCAGAGATGATGGGATAGTTCAACATACAGAAATCCATCAATGTAATTCACCATATAAACAATCTGGAAGTTAAAGAAAAACAAACAAACAAAGAAAACAATACTCATGACCATCTCCTTAGATGCTGAAAAAAACCTTTGACAAAATTCAACACTCCTTCATGATAAAGGTCTTGGAGAAAGCATGGATATAAGAAATATGCCTAAATATAATAAAGGTACTGTACAGCAAGCTGACAGCTAGCATCAAACTAAATGGAAAGAAACTCAAATCAATCCCACTAAAATCAGGAGCAAGACAAGGCTGTCTACTCTCTCCATATCTATTCAATATAGTAGTTGAAGTTCTAGCTAGAGCAATAAAACAGCAAAAGAATATCAAGGGAATACAAATTGGAAAACAAGTCAGACTTTCACTATTTGCTGATGATATGATAGTATACATAAGTGACCTTAAAAATTCTACCAGGGAACTCCTACAATGAATAAACACCTTCAGTAATGTAGTTGTATACAAGATTAAATTTAAAAATTCAATAGCTCTTCTATTTACAGATGATAAATGGGATGAGAAAGAAATCAGAGACACGTCACCCTTTACAATAGCCACAAATAACATAGAATATCTTGAGGTAACTCGAATGAAGCAAGTGAAAGACCTATATGACAAGAACTTTAAATCTTTGAGGATAGAAATAAAAGAAGATATCAGAAAATGTAAAGATCTCCCATGCTCTTGGGTGAGTAGGAGTAACACAGTAAAAATGACAATCTTACCGAAAATAATCTACAGATTCAATGCAATAACCATTAAAATCCCAGAAAAATTCTTCACAGACCTTGAAAGGAAATACTCAACTTCATATGGAAAACCAAAACACCCAAGATAGCCAAAACAATCCTGTTCAGTAAAGGAACTTTGGAGGCATCACCATCCCTGACTTCAAATTGTACTATATAGAGTTACAGTAATGAAAACAGCTTAGTGTTGCTATAAAAAAAAAAAACAGCCAGAAGAACCATTAGACTCGAATTGAAGACCCAGATATCAATCCACACATCTATGAATGCCTGATTTTTGACAAAGAAGATAAAATTATAAAATGGAAAAAGGAAAGCATCTTCAACAAACGGTGCTAGCATAACTGTATGTTAAGATGTAGAATAATGAAAATAGATCCATATCTATCTTCCTGCACAAAACTCAAGTCCAGGTGGATCAAAGACCTCATCATAAAACCAACCACACTTAACTTCGTAGAAAAGAAAGTGGGAAGTAGCCTTGAACACATTGGCATAGATGACCACTTCCTAAATGTAACTTCAGTAGCACAGACACTGAGAGCAACAATTAATAAATGGGACTTTCTATACCCGAGAAGCTTCTGTAAAGCAAAGGAATTTATCAACAAGACAAAATGGCAGCCTACAGAATGGGAAAATATCTTCACTAACCCCACATCTGACAGAGGACTGATCTCCAAAATATACAAAGAACTCAAGAAGCTAGACATCAAAAGAACAAATAATCCAATAAAAAAATGGTGTACAGACCTAAATAGAGAATTCTCAACTGAGGAATCTCAAATGATTGAAAGACACTTAAGGAAATGCTCAACTTCCTTAGTCATCAGAGAAATACAAATGAAAACAACTCTGGGATGCCATCTTACACCTGTCAGAATGGCCAGGATAAAAAACACTGATGAGAACTTATGCTAGAGAGGATGTGGAGTAAGGGGAACACTTCTCCATTGTTGGTGGGACAGCAAACTTGCACAACTGCTTTGGAAATCAGTATAGTGGTTTCTCAGAAAATTAGAAATAAATTTATCTCAAGATCCAGAAATATTACTTTTGGGCATATACCCAAAGGATGCTCAATCATGCCTCAAGGACATTTGCTTAATTAGGTTCATAGTAACATTATTTGTAATAACCAGAACCTGAAAGCAATATAGATGCCTCTCAGCTGAAGAATGAATAAGTAAATTGTGGTACATTTATACAATGGAGTACTATTCACTCAGTGGTAAAAAAAAAATAATGAAATTTGCAGGCAAATGGACAGAAGTAGAAATATCCATATTGAGTGAGGTAACCCAGACCCAGAAAAACAAATACAATATGTACTCACTCATAAGGGAATATTAGACATAAAGCAAGGGATAACCAGCCTATAGTCCTCAACCTCAGAGAGCCTATACAACAAAGAAGACCCTAAGAGAGACACACATGGATATACTTAAGGAAGAGAAAAAAAGCAAGATCTCCTGAGTAAATTGGAAGGCTGGGGCAAGGGGAAGGTGGAAGGGGAGAGGTCAGGAAGGAAGGGGAGTGGGGAAAATGTATAACTCAATAAAAACAATTTAAAAAAGGCAGAAAATTGTTTTCACAAATAGTATTTTCTTTGCAGAAAATTCAAAGCCATATGTTAGTCATTGCTGCTAGGAAAAGTAGTGCAGTAATGGTATACTTCCCTGAGTTAAATCTCTAACCCTAGTGCTACAATTTTTCTAAAAGTTGGCCTTTGAAAAACGTGTGCTTTCCTAGACAAGGGCTTTTACTAGTAAAGTTGAGTCAGATGCTTTTTGAAATTACTGGAGATAGAAAATCAATTATTTGCTAAAAAATTATTCTCTTTTTAATATGAAAAAAGAATATTCAATCAGCCATTATTGTCCCAGGTCCAATCCAAGCTCCTCCATATCTCTTAAAACTAATAAGTGACATGTTAGAGAAATTAACTTTTATATTTTTATTCCTCTGTGGTGGTTTGAAAGAAAATGCCCCAAAGGGGAAAAAAAAGCACTATTAGGAGGTATGATTTTGTTATAGTAGATAAGACCTGGTTAGAGGAAGCATGTCACTGTAGAGGCGGGCTTTGAGGTCTCATATATGCTCAAGATACCACCCAGAGTCGCAGACCACTTCCTGTCTGCTTGAATGATTTAGAATTCTCAGCTACCTCTCCAGCACCATGTCTGCCTGCACACCACCATACTCCCGACTGCTATGCTCCCTGTCATGATGATAATGGACTAAATCTCTGAAACTGTAAGTAGCCACCTCAATTAAATATTTTCTTTATAAGAGTTGCCATGATCATGGTGTCTCTTTACTACAAGGAAACCCTAACTAAGAGGCCCTTCCTCATTGTCTTTGAAACTCAATAAACTTTGTTTGTGTAGCTCAGTGTACCAGCCTTTTCTTCAGTGGTTCTGAGTTTTACATATGCTTGCTCCTTTTGAAGTTGTTTTAAAAACATGCATTGCCTTCTTATTTCATGATGATTTTAATTTTTGTGCTTATATCTTTGATTCATCTGGAATTAGTTCAAAAATGAGAAGAATTGCACGTTTCCTTCAGTACCTAGCAATTCCTAAGCATTACATGGCTTAAAAGAATTTTCCCAACCAATTGATTTCAGATGGCACTGGCACTTTTGATTTATACTAAATATCTGTTATTTAAAAATGCATATTCTGAAACCATATTACACATGAAACACATACATGAAGTATATTTAAGGATTGGTGGAATTAAGAGGAAGGAAACTATGAACTTGGTTTGATTATTCTTTGCAAAAGTTTGCAAAAAAAATGAAACCAAAACCATAACCACAGCCATGGTGGAGAGGAAATAGTGTCCTGTTCACAGCTGACATGAGAACATTCTGAGTAGAGGTAGGGGAACTGCCTCAATGTGGCTGGTCCAAACCTGTGGGGATGAGGGGGGCTCTGCATTTGTGTGCACGTATCTCTGTAAGAACAGAGAACCAGCAAGTGTTAGACCTGATCCCTCACATCTGCCACTTTCTCCTCTGATAACTGTGCCATTCACCCATGACAGGCTTCATCTGTCATCCCTTCCAGTGCCCCTCCAGGAGTTGCCAGTCCCTCTCTCCTCAACATTCTAAAGAAAACCACATTGTTCTAGTTTCAGCTGTGGACTGCTCCATGACCTGGCTGGGCTTCTGTCTCAGGCCAGTCTCCCTCTGAGGCCACACATCTCCCTGAACACATTGCATTCTGGATCCATGGCTGATCCAAGATGCCCTGTGTTGTGTTCTTGTTCTTGTCGGAATAGAGGTGGTTTATTGGTTGGAATCACCCCTCTTGTGTTAGGATTAAATGTCATGGACTGAATGTCTTACAGGTTCATTTTGAAACCTAGCCTTAGAAGCCCAGCAGGGCTTCTGGAGGTGATGAGATCATAAGGGTGGAGCCCTCATGAATAGGATTAGTGCCCTTTGGAACAACCCTAGAGAGTTCTTCCTGCTCTTCCCTCCATGTGAGGACAGGGAGAAGGCACCACATATATATAAATCAAGAATGGAGCCCTCATCAGAATGCAACTGTCCAGGACTCCAGAGTTTGCAAAAACATCCTTTAATAACTGTTTCCTCTTTCTCCATGCTCTCTTCTCAATTGACTTGTCTTGGGAGTAGTAACAATTGTTATTCATTGCAAGATATCTAAAAGTGGGGATGCCTGGGTGGGTTTGGGGTAAACCTAAAGAAGACTGGGGAGAGGTTTTGATTCCCCCAAAGTCGGGTGCACCGTAACTCCTCTGGCACGCACTAAGCTGGATTCATGATTTTGCCCATCAACAGGCTGCTCCATGTGAAGCCGTCAAACATCAGGATGATGAAGGGCCTGTCGAGTTTGACAGTGGGTGGTTCAGATGTCACCTCTAGGGGAGCCTCTTTGGTGGTTCTGGTTGGTTCACCTGTCTCATCCAGTTGCAGCAAGGCCTTGTGGACCATCTGTGGGAAACATACCAGAGGCAGGAAATGAGCACCTGACATGAGGCAGGAACTATCCATGTCTCATCACATGGACATCTCACCCTCTGCTCCACAGGAAGGGAAGCAGTCAAGATTCCCAAAGCATCATGTGTTTGCTCCTTGTCCAAGCAGCAGCTACAGAGCCTAGACTGCACCTAACTTCTTCCCTGTTGGGATACAGGCTGCATGCACCACACAGAGATTAGAGGAATAAAGGTAAAAGCCATGAGCCTCAGGGCAATGCATAGGTTAATAGAAATGGGTTAAGTTGTAAGATCTAGTAAGTAATGAGCCTGAGATACTGGCCAAGCATTTTTAATTAATATTAAGCCTCTGAGTGATTATTTGATAGTGGCTGTGGGACAGAAAAACTCCACCTACAGGGGACCATTCACAAATGTGCTGTGTTGCTTACTGTTAAGATATTTAGTGTAAATTTTGGAGAAAAGACTCCAAGACACTTACCTTGGAAGACGGCAGTGGGGAATCCTGGGTGATGCCTGAGAAAATGGATTGGTTGACAAACAAGTCTGCAATGCCCATGCTTGCCAGCACATCTTTAAGGTCATAGGTACCAGTCATGGAGACTTTGGGGATGTACAGGTTCACTTGCCTGTTCAGGGTGAAACAGGAAAGGTTAGAGGGTCCAAGACTAGACCTAGAGGCAGACAGCAACATATCCTTTCTCAGACAGATGTCCACTTTGTGTGATCCCTTCAGCACATTTAACACAAGTCTGACTCACTCACTAGGGATGAAAGGTAGGGCAAGATTTTCTTGCCTGGACTGCTTGATGAACTGGACATGCAGGATCCACAGAAAAAAATGACTGCTAAACTTGCCTAAAGTTAAGACAGTCCTTTGGGATTTCTGCTTCATAAAAGAGTCTGTCAGACATTCTGCAGGATTCATAAGAAAGTGACTGACAAACTGCCAATGTAGGTGAAACTGTCTTTGAAATTTCCTGCTTCATAGAAAAGTCTACTGGCTACTCTGGGCCTGTAGGCTAAAGATGGATGCCCCAATGTTACAAAAGAACTTTGGGTGACTGTCCAGGCAGAGAGATGTCTCTATCAATTCTATAGTTTTGGAAGTTGCTTATAATGCTCCTCCTGTTTACGTAGGTAATAGTATATCCTTCTGGAGTCTTTGATGGAGTTAAGAATAGATAACTATAATTATAGTTTTCCTTAGTTATGATAAAATAAAGTATATATAAATACTGTAATAGTAATTCTTGCTTTATACCTGTTTTGTTATATGTAATCGTGCCTTGTTAAATTTAAAACCTTCCTTTTTATTTAGACAGAAAAGGGAAAGTGATGAATGCTGTGAATATGTTTTATTACCATTGGTTAATAAAGAAACTGCTTTTAGCCAATGGATTAACAGAGTAAAGCCATATATGGAGAGAGAGAGAGAGAGAGAGAGAGAGAGAGAGAGAGAGAAGGCAGAGTCAGGGAGAAGCTATGTAGCCACCTTCAGGAGAGAGGTGCCTTTGCTGGAGCCCACTAGAACCTTGCCGGTAAGCTGTAGCCACATGGTGATACACAGATTAACAAAATAAAATGGGTTAATTTAAGATATAAGAGTTAGCCAGAAATATGCTTAAGCTATTGGCCAAACAGTATTGTGGTTAATACAGATTTTTGTGTGGTTATTTAGAGTCGGGGCGGCCGGGAACAAATGAGTAGCCTCCCACAACACTGGACCGCTGATCAATACTTACGGTCTCTGAAGAAGAGAGGAGAAGAGTTAGTGAGAACTCCTGGTCAGGAGCAGTAGTCCTGGCCAAGCTAGCTATGTGATTCTTCGTCTCAAAAACCAAATCCTGTCCCCTCTGCTAATATTCCTATCATGGCTGCTTCAGCCTATGTGCTATTAAGGCCTCTGATGGTTGATCTTCATTTTCAAATGACTGGACATTAGAATTGCCTAGGAGACACATTTCCAGGCATATCCATCAAAACCTTTTTAGAGAGGTTGAACAAAGGAGAGAGGACCCATCAAAATGGCTTGAGTTTTGATATGAGACGGAGGAAGAGAGATCAGAGGGAAAAGCTCTGCTTGCTTGCCTGTCTTGCTGGCGAGCTCATCTGACCTTTCACCTACTCTGTTGCTACCATCACCAGCTGTTTCTGCCAAAAGGCCTTCTGGGGTCTATACCAGAGAGAAAAAGTCTCTCTGCCTCATTTTCCAGTAACACACCTCATAGAAACCAACATGGTGCCTGGAGGGCTTACCTTTTGGTCAGGGTCTTGTCCCACCTCTCAACTGTGTCCCGGTTAAGTGCGGCAGTGACAGTGTCCATCTGGCCCTGGTCAGGAAGGATGAGGAAGGTAGTTCCATTTCCGTTTCCCAAATGCTTCATCTGTACCAGCTGGCAGGGAATCGCCGTGTCCCGAAGGTAACCGATATTTCCGGACTGGAACATCATGGGTACCCGGACTGTGTTTGTCTCGTTCACGTGGAAGTCCTCATCCTTGGTGTTCTCTGGGTTTATGGGAAGTTGCCACATGCCTTAAAAGATGTGAGGGAGGGGGAAAGATGGGGTAAGGGAATATCAGTCATTAGGTTTATAGACTGGAAATTAAAATAAAGACTGGACACCTTCTTCTGAAGCCGCTGAACACCCACTGTCCCTGTAGAAACAAGCTAGGCAGCTGTCTGCTGCATGCCAGGATTATCCCAGCTTGGGCTGCCTGGTTTCCAGAATGATGAAATGATCCCCAGGATCTACAGACTGTTCTGCATGCAACAGAGTGGACCAGCAGCAGCATGCTGGGCTATGAAGCCTGTCCTGTTCCATGCCTCTCTAGTGGTTAAGGATTAGGTTTGCTTGATTGGCTTTCAAACACAGGCAAGGGAAGAGAAACAGGGTAATGGGTTTGGGATGTAGGGTAGGCCTCACTTGAACTTGACTTCTACCTGGGACTCTGGGCCTGAGGTGAGACTCAGTGCTGAGAGTTCTGGTGGTCCTAGAAACTCAAACCTTGAACTCAGGGTCTCTGGTGAGAAGAGGGAAGAGCTGGCTTTGGGAAAATGAACCATCTTTAAAGTCTAGTCAGTTCCTGGAGGAGGCTCATACCTCTGTCACTTGGAATGAGGGCATTCCAGACAATGATGCTTCCTGTACAGAGTAAGGATGAAGGATGCCTTTAGGCTCACAGCTCCCCCATCACCCTCAGCTGGTGGGGTCATCATCCAGTCTGTTTATTTGTTATGGGATTGGTCAGTTCTGACAGGAAGAATGTTGCTCCTTAAACTGAGTCAAAACTTCTCTGCTTGCAACAACCTCCCAACCCCCAGCCTCTTCTGGTCTTCAGGAGCCAGCCCCAAGCAGCACAGCCCATTCTATTTTCCTGACTCCCACAGTGATCCGATAACAAATGCATATAGCCACTGTCCGCAGTAATTGGTTACAGTACTATCAAGGGGCTCACATGGTCTTCTATGGAAACAGGCATGCTCAAGGACAGGAGAGGAATATGGTACAGCCAGACGAGGTGTGTGTGTGTGTGTGTGTGTGTATGTGAGTTGTGTGTGTGTGCAGTGTGTGTATGAGTGCTATATGTATTTGTGTGTGCACTGTATTTGTGTGTGTACTGTATATGGGCACATGTTGTGCATGTGTGCTATGTGTGTTTTTGTGTTGTATGTGTTTGTATGTGTATTGCGTGTGTACACACACACTGTGTATTAAGATCTTAGTGGAGGAAAAGTGTAAGACACGAGGCCAAAGAAGACAAAAAAGTAGAGGCTTTCAGTCTTGACCCTCTGGATATTTAGGGAAGATGACACCATGGGGGGGGGGGGCTGTGTGTTTGTGTATACATCAGTGTATATGTTCTCTACGTTTGTGTGTTTGTATATGTGTGCATTGTGCATGCATGTGCGTGTGTTCATTGTGAATAGCATTGTGAGTAGCATGTCCAGCAGACCTTCTGGCCTCTACTTACTGGACACCAATAGTTCATCCTATCTCACTCCTGGATGTGACATAAAAAAAAAATGTTCGCCAAGGTTGCCTAATGTCTCTGGGAAATTCGGGGCTTCAGTTTCACCCTCAGCTGAGAAGCAGTGTTATAGCAGAAGTTCAGTCAGTTTGGAGATATCTCATCCCTGACTGATCATAAAAGTGGCGTTAGGTTAGCACACTTGGCACACATGGCATATTCTTGGTTTTCTACAGAAGTTTTGTTTCAGGAGGTCTGTCATGAGTTCTAGAATCTATAATTTTAACACATCTTTTAGGAAGTGTTCGAGAACAGCATTGTGGAGGTTCCAACCTGCTGGACACTGGCATTTGTTAGGGACAACACATGATCAGAACCGGCTGTGAACTGAACTCTAGACCATTTTGTATGGGATGGCTTTGTGGGTACTCGGGAGATGTGCAGTGGAGTGGGAGCTCATCGGGATGGAAATGCGGGGAGAACAGTACCTCTGAGAAGGATGTAGTTGACCAGGATGAGGGGGGCTTTATGATCCTCTTCTGAGAATATGTCTGTCATTTTCCCCTGTGTCTTACTCTCGACATACTTGTTGATTCTCTGGCAGGCTTCAGGCCAGTTCTTGGTGATCAAGGCCTCTGACTCATGATACTTTTTGACGTCTGCTAAGAATGAGTCTCTTGGATCCAGGCTCTGGTCAAGGGACATGGCGTTTCCCATGTTCATCTTCAAGTTGCTGTCTGGCTGACTGAGAAGGTGATCGAGCTGCTGGAAGCTCTGGTAGATCTCATCTTCAGTTATCTCTGTCATGTTGAAGCCTTGCTCCTGGAAAAGCTTGGTCCTTATGGGGCCTGAGGCACCATGGGACATCATTACCAAGCCCATGGAGATGCTCACGGGGGAGATTAAGATATTCTTGTGAGGATCCATGGCCCCTAGGTGACGATACAGGTTGAAGCCAAAGTCAAGATTGGTGGGAGCCAGGCCTCGGTGAGGGTTCCCGGAACTGCTGTCATCTATAGAATTGGCAGTCACAAGGCCACTGGTGGAGAGCCATAGGAGACAGGCATACAGAGCAAATGGCATTGTTCTGGTTGACTAGGTCCTGCCAAACCAAGAGTGTTTGTTAGACAGTATGGCAGTCCCAGAGTCGGGGCACACAGTGCCGTGGGAGGCAGGCCAAGACCCGTTTTTCCTTCACATTGGCTGTGAGAGAAATTGACCCAGGCAGTCACAACAAAGTTCTGGACTTCGGTGTCCTTAATTAAAGACAGCTTTACTCAGCACCATTGCTACTTAACCCAACACTTCCTCAAGTATTCCACCTATATTCTTGTGTACTTTACGTCAAAAAACTCAAAGTAGGCTTTCCTAATTCTACTGTAGGCAGCCGGAAACTCAGACGGGTTAAGTACCCATACAAACTCATATATTTAACATACAAGAAAAAAAAAACAAAGTGCGGCCAAGCTCGCCTTCAAAACTGATGGCTTGCTAAACCATGCTCAGTTCGCACAGTACGAAACCCTGCTAAGTGGGTTTCCCTTTGATTCCCGCTCAGAATGAAAAGCCACTGGACATAGTGAGACGCATAGGGAGAGAAAGATGCCCTGCTAAAGGGCAGTGTGCAAACAATGCTCAGGTTGGGTGTGGTTGGACTTTTACTTTGTAAAGCCACCTTTTTATTTCTTGTGTGATTTTTAAAAGCCTTGATGTTGACTTGTTGAGGGTCTCTGTGCCAACCGCTGCCTACTGCAGAAAGAAGCCTCTATGGTGAGGTAGGGTTGAGAGTCATGTGTTTGAGCTCAGCTTGGTCTACAAAGTGAGTTCCAGGATATCTAGGACTGTTACAACAGGGAAACCCTGACTAGAAAAACAAATCAAAATGACAACAACAACAAAAAATACCCCTAAAACTCAAAAACAAAAGCACATGAAGTTGGGAAGATGTGGTAGGAAGAGGGAAGGACCTGAAGGGGAGGGAA